TGTAGTTGTTTATATTTTCCTATTAATTTCATAACACGTTATCAGCACGAAGCTCTGCCAAAATTATCATTGATCAAATACTCTCGACATAATCAAGATATTGGAGTAAGATCACAATATGATCAAGGTATGTAAATCTCACCTCCTTTCTTATCTTATTGTCTTATTTGTGTCGAGAATATCTCTTTCCAATATATCAAGATGGGTGCTACTCTTTTCGCGTAGTAGACCATCCATTGATATTTTATCACGTACATCTATTTGGATTAACAAGAAAAGTAATATAAATGATGAGTTGATTTCTCAGTTCTCCGTGTTATCCTATTCTTATCAATTATACATTGATATTCAGAAAATGCAAGTTCCAAGAGCCCATATATTCCCCATAAGTGGAAATTGAAGAATCCAAGGGCAAAGAAAGAAGTGGACATGGTAACAAGAATATTTGTTATGTATGTTACCATTGTAATGGAAAAGTGTGCTCGTCTTGTACCCGTTGTACGCGAAAGACTTTATTCTACCAAGAATCAAAGAGAAGAGCAAATTCAAATATGCTCATGCAATATCAATATTATGGAATATATTTTTTGTAATATAAGTTGGTATATTCTCCATTAAAGATGAAAATGATATTGCACTTGAGACATTTTCATTCCCCGAAGTGAATGAAACAATCTATTCCCCGAAGTGAATGTAACTATAAACATAATTATATATATGTTAAATGTATTGTTTGGATATTTTCACCATAAGTGAGAAAATAGGAGAAAAAAGAGAATTATAAATAAGTATGACACAACAATTATATTATCAAAGTCGTGATAACATAATGTACCTATTGTACATTGAAATGTATAATGAAAGACATATATAAATTTAAAATCACCTAGTTAGTGATAGTATTGTTCCAAATAAAGCTTATTTAAATTTTCACAATTGTAGTATTATGATTCTTGTTTTCTATTATGTTTCATTGTGCCATTATTTTCATGCATAATCTAACTTGATAACTTTTATCTAGAACGATTAACTTGATAAGTTCATCTTTTTTGTCTTAAGTTTGAATATTCTCATTTATTATTTTAGTGTGTTTATGTAAAGTATGATTGTTAGAAAAATTCCATATAAACTATATTGTAGAGTACATAAATGAGAAAAAGCTTCCGAAGAGCTTATGTTTGGTTACTTGAAAGTAGGGATGGCAACAAAACCTGAACCCACGGGTACCCACCCGACCCAACCCGGTCAACGCGGGTAAAATCCGTGTTGACGGGTTTTGGGCCGGGTTTGGGTTTAAACCCGTTCACTATTCACCGGGTTGGGTTGGGTTTGGGTTTAGGTAAACCCGACCCACGGGTACCCGCCCACACCCATATAATTAATTTTCTCGGCATATTTAATATTCTAAACAACTAATCTTATTTATGTTTGTGGAGACATGTCTAATTTTTTCTTTCTAGTTATGTAGTATGAAGTTGATGTTATCGAGTGGATAGTGAAAAACTTAATTGAAAGGAAGAAACTTTCAATTAACTATGTTATTTATGGATAATTTGTGATTTGCTTCAATTTTTTTGAGTTTTCTAGATTGGTGTTGAACAATTTGTATAGTTAATTTGTGATTTGCTTGAATTTTCTAGAGTGGTGTTTTATATATGGATAATTTGTATTGGGAAATTGATATTTGACTTTAATTTTGATAGGAATTTGTTATTGTGAATTTTTTACGGCAAAAACCTGTGGGTACCCATGAACCCGCGGATACCCAACGGGTTGGGTTGGGTTTGAGTTTTTCAAACCCAGTGGGTTTTACCCCGGGTTTTTTTCACGGATAAACCCATGGGTTTGGGTTTGGGTTTGGCAAAACCCGACCCAACCCGACCTATTGCCATCCCTACTTGAAAGTAACTAAATTATGTACTCGTGATAATAATTTGTGATGATATTTACTATGAATATGTGTTTACTAAGAATGCATCAAATCATAAGTCTCCGGAAGGGCGAAATATGGTACAAAATATGGTAAAGCTCTAAATGAGCTAATGTTTTGTGGCCTGAAGGACCCAAACTACCTAGTGATGATGCATTACCCAATTAAAAGGATGTTCTTAAAATGAGTATATTATCAAGAAAATAGTAAAACTAATATTTGCATCACAAATATGTACTACATATATATTAGTACTATCAGTACACATAAAAGTGTAAACCAGAAGTTTACAAGATTTGATAACTTGATAATTTGGTTGGTCCGGTTAGACCATCCCGGATCTTGATGTGGGGAAAATTCTTTGAGAATTCATGAGAACATCATATGAGAATTCAAAGAATTCTTCAAAAGTTATTATGTCATGCTTGTTCTCAAGAAATATAGAACAATTGATCATCGCTTGTAAAAGGGTTGGCAAATCTCTTGAGATTTTATGGACGTGTATGCAGAACAATGCATCAGTCATGTGGATCATTTATGAATTTTATGGGTTCCTACATCAAATGATGATCACATGTATTTTATCTAATCGCAACCCGATGTTGTGAGATTGGTTGCCTCACTATGGATACATTTTGATGGTTATTCAATCAAACATCACTTTGCTTAATAGAATAAGCTGAGCCTTCCAGTCTCTTATCGAGGACATGCTAGCTGGCAAGTGATAGTATTGGTTCGCATCTAACCAACAAGTTATCATAAGTTTCCCCCTTTTTACAAATGGTTTTGGTCAGAAACCTAACATTTCCCATATGAGAATATAAGGGTGTGCCGCATACATCCCAATTGCTCCACCACAGTATTTTAAGTTGATTTTCATTAGAGATTGAGAATTTGTGTTGAGGTTTGAATCCCAAATGGGAAATTTGTTTGCGAAATTATTGTTTTGATGGATTACTTTTCCAACATTAAGGGGGGAGGAAAAAAAAAATAGCTAGACAAAGAGATGAGTTGGAATGCGTTATCATTATCTAGTTTTGATCCTCAAATTAAGAAACATGAACCTGAAGTTCATAAGATGAATTATCATTACCAACTATCAAATATCTTTATTGACCATACAAAGTGTCCAAGTCATAGATACTAGCTGTAAATGCTCCAACTAAATTTGATATCCTTGTTGGATACTCTAATATATAAAAAATGTGTCTAAAAGAGCGCATGAAGCGTGATAGACCAATCGGTTCCAACGATAAACATCCTCGAGAAAAAAAAGGAGCTGTGATTAGAATGGTCAACTCGAGGACATGAAAACTCAAGAAGAGTAACCAAGAATTAAGTATAATTTTAGTTCCAGAAGAACACATGTCTCTGAAAGTTGTGAAAGTGAAGAGATCTCAATAACATATTAGACTACAATACTGGGACCGTAATGAAATCATTGTCGATGAAATTTGTTTGTTGTACTTCAGTACTGAATATGATATGTACAAGTGAGGATCAAGAGTAAAACTCTATTGATGCATACAAATGATGATGCTATTGGCCAATATAGAAAGAAAACATGAAACTTGCTCAAGGAGCATAAATTTTAAGGACCAGAAGTCCTTGCACCTAAAAAAGGGCAAAACTAGCGGGATACAAACAAATTTTTGTGCTATTGGAAAGTATGAAAATGTGAGAGATACAACACAATGTTTTGCAATGGTTTCTCGAAGAGACCTATCATTATTTGAGAGGAGTTATGCTCTCTTGTATTGGATGCAACTACTTTGTCATATTAATGTTCAAATCAGTGTTTGAAAATTGTTGTGATAGCCTATTTGTTTGAATTCCCTGAAGATGTTATATATATTTGAAACTCCCAGAAGGATTAATTACTCCTAGAAGGATTAATTTACCTGAAGTAAACAAGTAAAGTTCTCGAGAACATATATCGATAGACTAAGAAAATCCCTTGTGTGGGTTGAGAAAATATAGACGAATGTGAAATACTCGTCTAAGTGAACACCTACAACAGTAGGATGAATGGACCTTAAAAGGTAAAATCCGGATAGAGTCATTAGAGCATTTGCATTGTGCATATATAGTTGTGTTGTCTGTATGTGCTTCAAGGATTTTAAATTCTTGATTTATTAGTTGTGATTTACTTTAAAGTATGAGTAGTGTTTTATGAGTGTGCTTTGTCTAGTTCATATGTTTCTATGATGTGTGTTTTGTTAATATCTTTCGTGATATGAAAGAATTGCTTGCTTCAATTTGTTTTAGTCAAGTTTTTTTTTGTGACGATCTCATATTATGTTGATGATATGACTATTATTGGATCTCCTGAAGAGCTTCCTAAACCAGTTGATTAATTAGAGACATAAGTTAAATTGAAGGATTTAAGATCCTTTTATGGGCAAGGAAGGTATTGTTGAAAAAGTGGGAAAGTAATTTTGCATGAACGAATTGTGTTCATCAAATAACATTAGGATCCTAAGATCACTAGAAGTGACCAAAGATCCATTGAGAAATCAAGAAAGAAGTGAAACATTAGATCCTGAAGTACCATATGTTGATGCATTAGAGCACCAATGCACCTTGCTAGCCAAGGACCATATAAACTATCATTTTGGTGTTGATAATATTGGCAAGATACAATGTTTCCCTCATTAGAACGTTGGAAAATACTTTGTTACCTCCGGGAACAATATATGCGATTGTTCTATTATGGTATTATCAAAGAGAGATTTGGTAAACTATATATCCAAATCCTATATACCATTTGATCCTCATATTGGTTGATCCGAGACGAGCTATGTCTTACATATGGTAATATAACTGTTTCATAGAGAAACAAAACAAACTACAATAGGCAAGTCCTGAATGTATTTTGTTACACTTTGTGATCCACCATATCTAACGGACTTGTGGTTGTGAACTATTTCCAAAGGAAATGATCCTGACGATCATGTATAAAGAAAATCTAAAGATCATGCATAAGATTGAAAATCTAGAAGATTGTTCACTAACTAACTCCCGAAAACAATCTTTCTAAAAGTTGTTCGTGAAATTTGAGTTCAACGACTCAAAAATATGAAGTGATGTGGTCATGAGGGGGAGCATATACGCACTGCACTCTTTTTCCCTTAACAAAATCTTTGTAGACAGAACCAATCAGTAGTTCCCAACCATGGGGAGAATGGAATCCTATACATAAATCGGTTAATAAAAGAATAGAAAAAGCTTTTAGTGTGTCGCTTAAGTTATATAGGAATTCTTGAACCCAAGAATTCAGAATAATAAGTTCGTTATTGCCTAGAATAGAATAAATACTTAGAATAATGAAAGAGAGTATATTTGTCGAAAAGTTCAAAATCGTATCCATACGATTTTCATTGTACATCTTGATTAATTGGATCATTTCTTTGTGTATTCCAAGACGAAACTCTTGTCGCAGTGTTTCTGGGTATTCTTTTATCATTTCATCCAATAAGAGGAGTTCCTCTAATTCTATGAATTCTGGTTTTTTCCCAATGGGTTTTCCTTGTAAGGTTTTTAACGAGGCAGTATGAGATAGCGTAATGCAATCTAGTGGTCATCCAAGGGGGAGTATTATGTAAATATTGATATATGGATGACCATTGCCATTACCACATTAGATGCTCAATTGGGAGTTACATGTAACCCCCATTCCTACATTTGATAGCTCCTTCATGTTTCATTCTCTCTCATTGATATAAGGATGTAGTGGTTACCAAGGTGTGCCTATAAATAAAGCACACCGTTGTATCAAAAGAAATAGAATGAATAAGAATAACTCTTCCTCTCTCTTCTCTTGTATCTTTCCCTCTCTAATATTCTCTTGTAGTTGTTTATATTTTCCATTAATTTCATAACAATTCTCTATTCCCTTTTGTTTTTCTATTGGTTCACCGCCCCAAAATCCTTTTCCTATATCTCTCATTTTCTCTCTACCTAGCAAGAACAAACTACCTTCTTCCATTCTCTCTCGACCTTCTTATCTCCATTCATTTACTAACCAGCCTTCAATCCTTCCATCTTCGCTCTCCACGATCCTTCCTCCTCCACTCCCACTTCAATCAATCTCCCATATCCTTCTCCGTTGTCCCTGCATCTCCAACAACCATCGCCTCTGCATCATCTTCTCCCACCGCTGCGAAATGCAATAGCCACCCACAGACACAACTCGGCTCCCATCTAGGTTCAGCTTCCTGCTTCGGCGGTCCAAGGCACCTGACACCCACAAATGATTTGGGTTTATTTCTTTGATTGGATTGACGGGTGTTGTTGGAGCAGGGAAAATCTGATCTGCGACTAGCTGGGCAAGGAAAAGGAGGCCGATCACGAGGAGGTGGCGATCCACTCTTCTTCTTTGTAGGATATGGAAGGGGACTAGAACGAACAGATCTGTGGTCTGCAATCGCCACAGTCTGGGTTGGCAATCGCCATCGCCTCGTGTACCATTGACAAATGGCCTACATCCAAAAGCATTCCCTTGCCTTCCTACACTGCTTCGAGATCTAGAATCGACCTCTCATCATGGCCAGCCAAAGTCGCCTTCCTCAGCCCTTGTCGGCGACAAAGACACCCAGGATTATCGATGCAACAGCAGCCATGAAGAAAGATGGGTGGAAGGAGATGATACTAGAGTCGATTCCCTCCACTGCTTCCCCAAACCTGATGTGATACCGAGGTCAATTTCCAATCGAAACATAAACATTACCCATAAAAATGAATTTGGAACAGGACCTCAGCGTGATTTATATTAATTATGGTCGTCGGCGCTAATATTGGTAGCCTGCGAATTTTTTTTTTTTAAATTAAAACAAATTAGAGCCGATTATTTTGAGTCGGTTAAACCCACACAAACAATTAATTTTAATTCTTAAATTGGATTTTTCTGTAAAATAAAGTGTCGGTTACAACCGACACAAAAATATTCGAGTCGGTTACTCCGGTTGTTGGCCGGAACCGACAGAAATCTGCTTAGTGTCGACTACTTTGTGATGGTTAAGTGAACTGACACAAATATTTTTGTGTCGATTATATTTTAACCGACACAAAACATATGTTTTCTTGTAGTGAAAGAACTTAGCCAGCAATGGGGAGGGGTTCCTGGGTGTCCATTGATCGAAACAAAGACCCCAAAATGCCCATAGGAAACAACGCCAACTACAGAGAAAATAGGCCTCGGGGTGGCATTTCTTGCGCCTCTTCTCCCTCGAAGGTTGGTATCGTTCTAAGTCGGGAGAGTTTATCTGTCACGAGAGTAAATGCCCTTCCTTGACCTCTCGTCTCCTCTACCCATTTTCTATCTATAGAGACATATTTATAGGCCTTTGATTAGGCTTTCTAGGGAGAAAAAATTGAAGGTCAAGTGTCATTCAGCCAATCAGAAGCCTCCAAACACGTTGAAAACGAATCAGGATGCTCTAGGATAACTTTCTGACGAAGTGGACGATCTCCACAAAAGGGTGGCTGGAGCACCGTGTCACACCCAAGGGTGCCATTTTGAGCACCATTTCTTTAAGCCATTCTCTCTTTGAATACCGGCTACAGATTATGGATCTATTTGTCCCCAACGGCTGCCAAGTGGTCCACTTATTTACTTTGACTTGAAAATGCATAAAACACTACCAAACGCGTATCAATCATATAAAAGCAATCATAGGCCTTCTAGAACACATTTAAGACAAATATAACATGAATTCAAGGTATTATGACAATATTTATAGGAAATGTATGCACTTTTGATCATAATACGAAGGTCTAGAATAGCTCATTCTATGTGTCATCAAATAACCTCACACTTGCACTTTGTTTGTCCCCAAGAAAACATAATTCCAACATCCATCTCCTCACTAGAACTCCACGATGACATATGAGTTCCGATCTTCGGTAAGAAGATTACAAGGTCAACCCTTGCACTTAGAAACTCTGATCCTTTGCAATGATGCTCAAAATGTACTTCATAAGGACGGAATAATTCGCCTCTCACGAGATGGATTTATCTTTCTTTCCTTGAGTCTTCTTTTACGAATATTGCGGGGAAGCATATGTAGCTAGATAGGAAGTATTTTCATTCCTATCCACGTAAGTCTTTTGAATCGTTTTTATATTAAGACGAACTTTCCAAGCCGCATTCCACTTTTCATGCTAGTTTAACTTTTCATTCTACATGTCATCAAATAACCCCACACTTGAACTTTGCATGTTCCCCAAGCAAACCTAATTCTATCATCTTTCCCCTCACTAGATCTTCATGATGACATGTGACTTCCGATCTTCGGTAGTGGATCATAAAAAGCTTAGAAGATCAACCCTTGCACTTAGAAACTCTGATCCTTTGCAATGATGCTAAAAATATACTTCGTAAGGACGGAATGATTCGTCTCTCACGAGATGAAGTTCTCTTTTTTTCCTCGAGTCTTATTTTACAAATATTTGGGGTGAAGCATACGTAGTTTGATTAGGAAGTATTTGCATTCCCATCCACGTAAGTCTTTTGAAACATTTTTTATTAAGAGTTAAAAGAAATCTTTCCATGTCACATTACATTTTTCATGCTACTTTATGCACAGAAGAGAGTTTATTTTGCCTCATACTTTGGTACTTTGCAAGCATTGATCAAGCAAAAGCACTTTTATCTTCTTTTTCTCGATCGTGCAGAGGGTCAATGAAGTGAAGTGGTGTCAGAGCCTTGATCAAACACATTCTCGAGTTGGAAATCATATCCTACAGGTAGAGATTTTACTTGTACTTGAGAGGAACTATTTAATACTTCCACTTTACGGTTTGTATTTATTTTTTGCTTGTTTTGTGTTCTATGGTATAATAATAATGTTTCGTTATTGTTCTTTAGTGGTGATGAGGACATTGAAGCAATCTTGGGTTGAAATGTCAAAGAATATATGAATACTTGTTTGTTGGTGATTGAATATTATATTTGTAGATCTCATAAAATGATGATTTATTGTTGAATATATTAATGAATATAGTTTAGTCCTTTAATAAATACTTATTGATAATATGTGTCTCAATATTTATCAGTATTAAACACTTGTTCGTCTATTACAACTACTTATTTGTCAGTTAAGAGTACATATCCACTTCTTACAAATACTTTTTTGTTATGTTCAATGGTTATGGAATCAAGGTAACACCATCATCCAAACCATTATCTTCCAAATAGTAGGCTATAGTTGTGGATTAGGGGCAACAAACGACTCTGGCTCAAGAATATTAGTATTATGTGGTTGTAGATCAGGTTATATTTAAAAGCAAGAAACAACACTGGGAACATGACCCATTTTCTCGAAAGTGATGGTCGCCTTGGGATGCTCCTTCATCCCAACAATGGTGTCATTAGTGAACCTGTTTGTGCTCCTCAACGTTTCCACTAAATGTTGTTCACTAAATAGATAATCTCAACTAGAGAATTACCATTGGTATAATCTGTATGTTCATATTTTTGCTCAATAATCTTTTCCAATTGTTTAGATGATCCAAGTCACCTTGACATCTCACGTTCAACAACCACACCCACTGTTTTTGGCTAAAAAAACAAAAGTATAAAATTGTAAACATAGTAAGGCAACATATAAATTTTGTACACATAGTAAGGCAAGATATCATGCATATCAATACATACATAACTAGTATTAGCCCATAAGAAGCCTAATAAAATGTAACTGCAATTGGACATGAAGACAACATCTACTCTGAGAGCATTAACACCTCAAATTTATTTCCTCGGCAACTCGCACTGGAAATGAGGACAACAAGTATTGATGATAATCAAGACTAGTGAACAATATTGTAAATGATTCCTCACACACATTACAACTAATATTCAGCACAAGCTGCAAAACCAACTGGAAATGACCACAAAATCTATTATTACCTTTTTCAAAGTCTTTTTTTTGTTCGTGTAAACTGACCTCCATCTTTTGATATTTGTCTATATTGATTCTCACTTGCTCAACATGGAGTTAGTCATCGACTTCAACATCTTAAACTACACATATGTTGTAAAGTTCATTTCATTTTGTCTAGATGTATTGGTACTATTATTTACAAAACAAAAAATTATGTACCTTTTGTTGTCAAGACATTCCAAGTCATTTTCACCACCATTGAGGGTTGTATAGCTTAGGAGCTTATATGCTCCTTCCTTCTTTTCTATCCCTAACTGTAAGCTTCTGCTACAACCCAAATCTCTAATGACTTTCAGCTCTCGCCATAAGCAAACCAACTATATTACATCACAGCCCTTGGTGTGAGTAACTGCGATTTACTTGGCCGCTCTAGATTTGAACCAATAGTTGTAGATCGAACTAATAGAGCTGCCCACACTTTTGACTTAGAGAAAAACCAACTAATGAACCCATAAAAGAACAAACCATTACCATATTGATCTTGAATCACCAAATAAAACAAAACTAGAAATTGATGGATTCA